GATTTCAAAGCGTTGTTGTAAATAATTTATGAAGAATTATAGGAAGGACAAGTAGTATTTTAAATTCAAAAGTTATATAATAGCGGTGACCCAATCAAATTTATTAGACTGTTGATTTAGTAATTATAAGATTATAAAATTAACTTAGGTATAATTTACTCAATCTACACTCACATATATTAACAGATCATATTCTATACTATTACTATATCACCAATGTTCATAGTAGTTAATATAACAAGAATATATATATATATAGATTAGCGTTCAAATGCGGCAGTGGCTTTAGGTGCGGCGAAGCGGTCATATCAGCATCGTCCATTCTGCTTAATCTAACGGCAGCAGTTAATTTCTGAAGATTTAAAGATTTAAACGCGTCCTGGTAAGTGGGGGTGTTATGGTAATTGTAGTGGTCATTTATATTGGTCGCATATCAGAATACACCAACAGTGTTAACAAAAGGCACCAATAGTGTTAGGAAAAAACACCACAATGAAATGCACAAATACACCAAAAAACACACAACACACTCAAAAAATACATCATATAACTCACCACCCCAATGGTGTATTTCTGAACACTGTGTGATGCTTTTATTCATACCTAATGGTGCGTTCTGGTGATGCGTATTTAATTTGTGCATGTTTTTTTGGTGTGCATTTTCTAACATGGATGGTGTATATTTGTATAACTATTAGTGCGCCCGCACTGACCACATGAGAAGGCACGGGCGCACCTGAACTTGGCACCAACACGAATCCTCAAATACACCACAGTAAGGTTAATAATGCACCAATAACGAACATAAAATACACAATACTATGATTTGATCTATTCTGGTGCCCAATGATGACTTTAACCTTACAATTCGCGTAGTGTGAGAACATGCGCGAAAATATCGGAAAAGCCTTGATGAATGTGATTCGTTGGATTTATCTAATCTAATGGCCTATAATTAACTGCACCGCCCCACCTAAGTGCACTGCCGCACTTGAACCTTCCTCTATATATATATATATATATATATATATATATATATATTGTTGTAGCTAATATTATCAATTACAGTAAGAAAGCTGTGAGCACGTAATAAAGAAATTAATTAATAACATTTGGGGGGTGGGGGGGTGGTGGAGGGTGGGTTGTGCACTGGATGATCTAAGCTATGAAAGGCATAAATATACACGTTGTACAGATGTACAATAGTTTGATTTACAGAAAGTTAATTGTCGCTATCGAAAATATATATTACGGTAAAACTCGTTTTGTGACTTAAGTCGATTAAGGATCATAAAGAGGTAAATCAACTTAAATTATTCATAATTAAGCAACTCAAACAAAAAAGGTCAATAAACATCTCATATAGTGAGTCAAACTTTAAATTTTGTGGTTATCAAATTAACTATACAACTGACTTGATTGAGGTTGTAACTAGTTAGGTTGTACAATATTTAATCCTAGTTTCCTACTTAAACTTTGGCAAATTTTGCCGTGGACCATGGTCCATGTAGTATTATGGTCTATGATATAAGTATCATTTTAATTATACTTTAGTTTAATTTGACAATATTGTTATGTTTTTCAGTTTCAGTTTCATTTTCCACATACACTAGTTTCATTATAGCAATACCAAATTATCATTTTAATCCAACTACAGTTTCATTTGACAAATACATTATTGTATGAGCTCTATTTTGTAGTTTCATTTTTCACACACACTAGTTTAATTATAATAATGCTAAAATGTTATTTTAATTATACTACACGTTCATTTGACAATATATGTTATTTTTTTGAAAGAAAAAGAGTGTTGAATCCCAGGTCAATATCTGACCCTTACAGTATTATTACTACCCAGAATACCAATTCAAGTTCATCTTGACGGAGGTATCTTTGCATGTTTTCCGTAGCATGATCATAAAAGCATTCCTCTCTTGCATCGTCGAAAGCCAGACTGGCAATAAGATCGGCTACTCTATTTTGTTCCCTCGGAATATGCCTGAATATAATTTCCCAGTGCCAGGATTTGGCTGCTTTGCGGAGATCGACTAGATTCATTCCTGCACCAACATGATCTTCATCTTTATTTATCAGCTCGATTGCTTTGGCATTATCTGTCTCAAGGATGACACGCCTGAATCTCAATCTTCATGCTTGGTTGATGCCGAGATAAACGCCCCATAGCTCCGCTTCTAGAGGGTCACACGCTCCAAGCTTCTTTGAGAAAGCCACCATGAACTCAGCTTTGTCATTCCTGATGACTCCTCCGCATGTAGCTGCTCTACTTCTCTTGCTACTGCTCCCATCAGTGTTGACCTTCATCCATCCTCTAGGTGGCACAGACCATGGGTTTCATTTTCCGCACACACTAGTTTCATTGTAACAACATTAAACTATCATTTTAATTATACTACAGTTTCATTTGCCAATATACGTTGTTGAACGAGCTCTGTTTTTTAGTTTCATTTTTTTTCACACACTAATTTCATTTTAGCAACACTAAATTATCATTTTAATTCCACTCTAGTTTCATTTGACAACCATGGTCGACATAGCACTATGAATCATCGTCCACTATATAACAACCGTTAAACTTTTTTATAGCATTCAAATGGGATTTAGGGGTTGTTTGGTAAATAATTGTTAGTTGATTGAGTTAATGAGTTTGACTAGTTGATAACATTAATTGATCACTTGATTGTAGAAAGATGTTTGGTAAATTAGCTGATAGCTGATTATATGTAAAATGACTTTCTAAAAAATATGATTGAAAAAACTGCTTTGAGCAGCTTTTTGAATTTTAGTATTTTAGAACAATAAATTGTTACAAAAAGCTAATAAATCAAACACTTATATTGAATGTTTAACAAAGTCAAACAACTAATAGTGGTCAAATAAGTCAAAATTAACTAATAAGCTAAATATGTTATCAAAACTTTATTCAACTTGTAGAATATTTAGTCCTACTTGAACTTTTGTTTAGGATTGGGATAATGATGATTCATTGACTACTTATTCACATGCCTCTAATTCACGGTATTCATGTTCATATCAACTATTTAGACGACTTGTCAAAAAAAAATAAAAAAAAAATCAACTATTTAGACGATGGGTCATTCTCTTGTTTTTGTTTTTATTATTTTTTTCTATTGAGTTTATAAAATAAACTGATTCCCGTTACGAATTGATTTTTTATTTATTTATTGAGTTGGTCTTATTCTGTTTAACAAATTATCTTGAATCCATAACTCTATAAGTACTAAACTGTAATGCACAAAAACTTAATGGTGAGCATTTACACATTTTGAACATGTGTCAATTCAAAAAAAAAAAAAAAAAAAAAAAAAAAAAAAAAAAAAAACTACATCAACTCTTTTAAAACGTTTTCAGAATTGCTTATCTAATTCAAAAAAAAAAAAATTCTAAAAAAGAAACTATTAAAGAGTTAATACTTATACATATTTAAAAAAAAAAATATTTACAAATACATAATTATATGTTTTTTATATTTGTACATTCCCTTCGCATTCCGTGGCTTGCGTAATTTAGATTATATATATCAATTATGATAAAAATGTGTTTTATAATTCTGATCAATATTTGTTTCAAAAGCAAGTGATCCATCAAATTTTACCTTAAAAGACATTTTAATTTAAAATTGTAAACATATGTGAGCTTAGGCTTCAATCATTAATGGGGGAGTAGAAGAACAAGCTTCCCAAGAATTTGGGTAACTTTAACTCAAGTCTAAGAAAGTTATAAATAGTAGACCAGAAAATTAAGACTGACTTAATGTGATTAATGTTGAATTTCCTTCTATTAAACAAAAGAATAAGACAACTTACATAATGAATAAGCCCCACCCAACATTTTTTGAAATACTAATAATTCCAATGTAGTATTTTGTTCTATATTTTCAATCCAATTGTAAAGAATATGCCTTCACCACCGGGGTTTGAACTGACCACCAATTTAGAATTGTAACCGTCTAATCGGGATGTCATCACACTACATGGTAGTTGGCAAAGATTTACATAATTTAGGGTGTGTTTGGTTCATGAGTTTTCATTCACACTAAGAATGAGAAATTGAGAATCAACAAAAAAAAAAAAACACAAACAAAAAATAATAAAATATAAAACAACTTTACATGATTCTCATGGAAAGAACATAGGCATGAAGTGTATGTCAAGGTAGACTAGATTTTATTTAGTTTTATCATATATACTAGCATTTTGTACGCGCGATGCACGAAAATTCATGCCCATTAATAAATATAAATAATTAAAAATTAAAAATTATAATTTGAATTATATATACACAAATAATATATGTATTTTGTACACACACATATATAATTTATCATTCATAGAAATTTAATTAAAATATAATTAAGCATTAAATTAATATATATAATGATTTTAATAAAATGATAATTAAAAATAGGAAAAAGATATGATAGATATAGGTGTATGGTAATAATGATGTTTTATCAATGTTAGAATTAAAAACTAACAGTGTTATAACGGTGTAAGGGTAGTTTTGTCTAATAACATTGAAATGTACAACATTTAAATTAAATGTACACATTTATTTGCATACAAAAAGAGAGACATAAATCAAGGATATAACCTTAATTGAGGCTTATTATATATATATATATATATATATATATATATATATATATATATATATATATTGCTATCTCATTTTTCTAAATTGTGGGGTAATTTGATGTACAGATATATAGATTTTTTAAAATGGGTCCCACTTCTATATCATCAATTTTAAAATTTCTTTACTATTTATTTTACACCCCTGCAAATCTCTATCATTTTTAAAAACGGGTCACACTTTCATATTATATTATAACTATAATAATAAAATAATATGAAAAGAAATAATAAAAATAGAAAAGAAATCAAAAGCTATGCAGTGGCGGTCCTTTTCAGCAGTTTTGTAAGATTTTTCTCATTTACAAATTCTCTCTCCTATTGCTAATTTAGTCACTCTCTCTCCATTGTGAATACACATAAGCATAAAACAAATAAAAAATAATTTTCTCTCTCTTACCATATCACATTGCCAATGTGAGATTTGCAGGGATGTGTTCTGCCTTAATAAGCCACGGTACGGTCCAACATTAGTAGGCCACTTGGAGGATGGTGGTTGGAATTATAGGCAAAGGCTCTCAGCATCCATAATAGTGGTTTTTTTTTTTTTTAGTTTTGGAGGAGTTTTTGTAAGTATGATTAGGAAAGAGAATATGAGAAGAAAAAAAATTAAAAAAAATACAAAACAAAGCTGATTTCAACCCAAAAAAAAAAAAATAAAAATCTAAACAATACTAATAACGCGCCTAGCGGGCTCATGCACTGTTGGGCACAGTTGTGACAGCCACGCGTAAGCGGCGTGGATGACACATTTCTACAGTGGGTCTCACATTTATGCAAAAAACCACCTCTTTGTAGGATGAACTTCTTCTCCTCTCTCCTCAATGTTGACCATTTTACTCTCGGAAGTGTGAAAGATCTACCGATGTAAGTTGTTGCAGTGCTACAAGCACTTCAATTGGCTTCATACGTGGAACATTCATTATTTAAATAAACAAAGCCACCTAATTTTGCAAATATACAATTTCCTTGTCAGTATTGCAATTGGTCTGTGAGCCATGTTTAGTACTTTCATCTTTTTTTTTTTTTTTTCTTGTTAAATATTAATAATTAGATAGTTTTTATTAAAAGAAAATAATTGTTTTAGTTGATGTGAAAGTGAGACCATTTTTGAAAGAGGAGATAAATAATTGTATGGTTGAAGAGTGAATATTGAATAATTATAAATTTACTAATATAACTTGGAGGGTGTGATTGAGTGGAATGAATTCATCCATTCTTAATTAAAGGTAAAAAATTTGATCCTTTAACTTTAAAAATTAAGCAGTCTTAAATCTTTAGACTAGTTATCCTACTCAAAAGAAAAGGAAATAGGTTTCACTTTTGAATTCTTGAAGAACAATTACCTCTTTTACAGTAATTCCAAACAGAAGATGTCGCCAGCTATAGTTTCTTGTAACATTAAAAAATAGAATTTTATAATTATTTATCAATAATTGGTTCTGTTGTTTGGATAAGACATTTCTTAATCCGTGGCGCCACCTGACCAACCACGATAAAATATGCGTCATACGTGTGATTGAAAAGTGTAATTTTCGTAGTTCTCATTTTTACCCCTACCATTTTCGTATACTCTTATAGGACATTTTCTTTTAACAATAGTACAAATTTTGCTTAATATAAAATTAAATTATTGAAAAATAAAGGATTTTTTTTTTTTTTTTTTTTTTTTGTGAAGAGGAAAACATAATCATTATTATTTAGTGATACTAGATAAATCTCGCCTTATAATTCTATCAGATAAAAAATCATAAAGAATCTAAAAAATTAATAAATTTCATTAGAATCAAATCAAACTTGAAATGTTGTGATTACTAAATCAACAATCGGATCAATTTAGCTAGAGTTTCTCCTAATTAATTGAAAATTTTCACATTGAACTTTTGCATTAGGTGGGTGCACTCTGTGCAAGAGGTACTATGAACTTTCTTTTAAATTATTATTCCGAAAAAAGCGGTTTTTTTTTATATATATAAATAAATTACTCAAATTGTAAATTTAAATTTTAATTGATTAAATCTGTAATTCATTGGTTAGGACATGGTTAAATTTAGGATTAGAAGGGAATAACTTGAATATTTTGATTTGACTATTACCTAATTAAAATTAAATGATTGAATTTTTAATTTATTAATAGTCAAATCAAATTTTTTTAAAAAAAAATAAAAGAATTTGGTTCTATTTGGATCTACCCCTAACGAAACTCAAGTTGTAAAGGAATCAAACAATTTGTTAAAAATATATCCATTTAATAGCAAACAAATATGAACTTGAGCAAATTTAATATTTAGTTCTTGACTATTATGGTATTGACATATTTTGTTATATATATATATATATATATATATATATATATATATATATATATATATATATAAATTTTGGCGCATTGCATCCTTAATTTTCATTTATTTGTATAAAGTGAAATTTATCTTGTGCACATATTCAAATAATAACTGTGACTGAGTTTTTCTCATAACTCAAACAATAAAAATAAAAAAGTAGAAAGAGGAATTTGTAAAGGCTGATAAATGAAGTTATACATATCATTTGACGGGAATTTGTAAAGGATTGATGTGTATCAAGCACACAAAAAAAAGGCATTTCACCTTGAATAGTTGGCAAATGTCACGTTAAGTGTTAACCCCCAAACACCTACACTATGTATTATTTATTGACGATTCTCCCCTCTTTTTGGGGAGATGATTTTCAATCCGGATATTATATATGCTTTTGCTCCACTCCAATGCATCAATCTCTCTTTCTCCTCCTTTATCTCCTTGCATTGGAGATGCCCTAAGAGCATCCACAATTGTGAATTTTAGCATAGTTTTTTTTTTTTTTTTTTTTCTTTTTTTTTTTTTTTAGGGGAAAAAAAAGACACTTGAATGTGGGTTTTTGGAATGGATGATAGGGTTTTTATCTTTTTTTTTTTCTCATGCAAATACAATATTTTTGTAAGCCCCATTTAATATTAACTAATGCCATTATATATATATATATATAGTTATGATATATGAGTTAGTTTCAAGTGGCCAATACGGATCGGAGAATAATGAGGATGATTGGGAGTACATCATTTATATAGAACTTCAGCTCACTAATATACAAATATAATAGATTTATTCGATATAGTGTTACTTAGTATGATAATCGACACAATAAAAATATTACAAGTTTAGTGCGAATAAGTGAAGCAACACTAAATTAAACTCGTACAACTTATACTCACGTTGAGCAATATCTAGCAATACATGTAACTTTGAACCCCTGTGCACCAAAATAATGTATAGAATTATAGATAGAAGCCCTTGGCCATTTTCTTATTTGTGTAACTTGATCAATTACCTTTAAGTGATAATCTCAAGGAGTCAATCCAAAACTCAATATATTGTATTAAAAGTATTTATTGATTAATTGTGATCATAATTTTATTTAAATAATTTTTTTTAAACACCCACTACACTACATGCCGTGCATTTAAGGTCATCAGGAATACTATTGCTATATATATATATATATATATATATCAATAAATATACTAACTGCAACAATTAATTAATTAATTATATCCCAAAACAACCAAAAACTAATTAATAACTCTCTAAACAAAAATAAAACACTACCTAATCTCACTAGAACTCTCTTACCTAAAATTCTGGTGATAACACTTTTGCTAATTTGGCAAAGGCTTGAAGTTAGTGGGTGTACTTTCTCAATTACACTTTTGCAGCTCATGACTTAGCTTGTATGGAATATGAATATTTACCAGACAAACATCACGGTATGATCGATAGTTTGGTGGTTATGCCTTGTATGGAAGACATTTTTATTACTTATTGATAAAGAAGGTTGGTTATTTGATTGTTTGTTGAGAATAATTAATATTCTCTTTTATGATTCATAATTTAGAAGATATATTATTTTCAGACAATTGGATTAGATTTTAATATATGATGTTTTTAAGAAATTAAAGTTTATGTAAAGTGTGAAAAATCAACAATCTTTCAAATAGTAGACTAGAATATACTGTCACTGTTCCTGTGACCCCGTCCCCGCCTGGGAATAGAAAATTTTCTTCATCCTTGCTGGTAATTAATTTTCAAGGAATAATATTAGTATAATACAAATTTTAGTTCAATCATGTGACTACTCATTTGGAATGGTAATAGAGGTATCATTACATTATATATGGTAGTTGGCTATAATACAATTATTTATTTTTTGTGGAGAATGACGTGTTACTATGGTTTTTCACAACGACACAGGCGTGGAGAGGCACGAGATCTAATAAAGTCATTTGTGCCACAATCTGATCTCCCATGGGTGATGATTGGTGATTTTAATGATCTGTTGTACCAGTACGAGAAAAGAGGCGGAAACCATACCCAAATAGCTTGCTCAGGGGCTTTGGTGATACTATTGCACAGTGTGGCTTATCTCAACTACCTATGGAGGGATACCAATTTACATGGGAGAAAGGGAAGGGTACTGTTGACTGGATTGAAGAGAGATTGGACAAGGTGTTAGCCACGGCAGAGTGGTGTGGAATTGTACCTCAAAGACGAGTAGTCAATCTCTTGAGAAGAAAGTCTGACCATTCGGCCATTTTCTTGAGTGTCCACGATCCTGGAGGAGGGGGGGGGGAATGACGAGGAGAAGGTTCCGGTTTAAGATGTCCTGGCTACATGATAAGGGGTGTAGGGAGGTGGTGGAGGAGGCATGGGGGGAATGGAGGGGTGGAAGGGTGCAGGATTGCATAGAGCACTGTGAGCGACAGCTGTCGTGTTGGGGAGGTGAAAGGCACCATAATTATGGTGAGCAGATCCTGCATCTTCGGAAAGAACAGCTACGCCTAAGGGGACGGATGGATCCATCGTCTCTTGCTGAATACCAACGCCTTGAAGGAATCCTGACCCGTATTGAGAACCAGGAGGATGCCTACTGGAGGCAGAGAGCCAAGCAACACTGGCTGAAAGAAGCAGATGCAAACACAAGATTCTATCACAGGTATGCCTCTAACCGAAAGAAAAAGAATACTTTGTCTAGAATTCAAAATGATAATGGGGATTGGGTGGAAGGAAATGCCATGCATGCAGTTGTGATAGATTATTTTAATAAAATCTTTACTTCGGATAATCCTGCTGATGGGAGGGAGTTTTTTGCAAATATTACTGAGAGAGTCACACCGGCTCAGAATGAGGGTTTACTCCGGCCTTTTGAGAAGGAAGAGGTTAAAACTGCTTTATTCGCTATGTTTCCTGATAAGGCACCTGGCCCGGATAGAATGAATCCGGGTTTCTATCAACATTTCTGGGATATTGTAGGGAGGGACGTGTC